GGACTGTTTGGGATGATCAGTCAGAAATAAGAAGGCAAAAATAAATAATAATATCTATTTTAACATTTTCCGACGTTTCGACCTGAAATTCAGGCCTCCATCAGGGCTAAGAAAAGAACCAGGTAACAAGGCATGAGAAACATAAATAATGTAGGTAAAAAAATTAAAATGAGTTGGGTAGAATAATGACAATAGTAAGAACTGAGAGATAAATAATAATAACTGTTAAAAAGTGTGGAATGATGAAGTAGACATAATCAAAAAAGGTGACATAAGTATTAAAACGATAATCTTAGAATAAAACGTAAAACAGAAAACAGGAATGAAATTTTAGTTTACATTTAAAGATAATTATATTATTTAGTTTATATTGCACCTATGTTTTAGTATTACGTTGTTCGTTCTACAATAATTTGTTATGTTAATTATCATTAATAATTTGTATACATATTAAAAAATCCAGAGACTTTTTTTTTTTGAGAGGTCCATTGTCCCTAATCCCCCTCCCCCAAACCAGAATGAAAAGTCCGCGAATATGATATCATCTCTACAAAGCATCGACTCACTTGACAACTGAATTAAGCTGAAAACAATCAATAAGCAGAAACAGATATTTTTTTTGGTTAACCTATACAGAACATCTCACTCAAAACTCCCCCCCCCTTTGAATTCCGGCAGCAGGGGCAGGCATGTGCCCCTCACTATTTCCGGCCCTACCTCAGAGATGTATTGGTGAGGGGGGGGGGGCTCAGGGTAGGACAAGCCTAGCTCACGACCTTCCACTACTATTATCAAACCCATTCATACCTCCTCTCCTATTACTATCTACTCGAATAAATTATTTTGCGCTCGCCGCTCGGTATTTACGTCTCTTACTGTCACCCAACAGTTGAATGTAACATATTCATCTGTCCAGCAACTGATACTTCCTTATTCTTGAGCCGAACTACTATTATATCCCACCGAAATATATATATTTTTTTTATTTAATGTTTAAGTTGGTACAACCACATGATATAGAATCGTTTAAAAACACAAATTCTAATTACTATCTCTATTCCTCATAAGCAAAGCAAAACGAGTCAATTTCAAGTAATTTCTGTGCTTAAAAATGTTATAAATATACATAAATACATATGTATAAAGATAATTTATATAATGTGGAACAATTCCCCTTTTGCATTGTAAACATGAACAGAGGATTTAAAATTTTCACACATTTTTTATTTTATAGCAGTTACGACACTTCTAGCCAAGGAAGTTCGCTTATTATTATGCCAGGGAACAACTTGATGGGAGACAATGGCCAGTGCCTTATGAATTAGGTATGACAGCATGTCAGGGAAAAGGGGCCACAATAACTTTTTCCGTTTCTTTAAAGTATTATTTTACCTCTTAAAATTGTCGGTGAATAGCATAAAAATCAAATTGTGCTCCATGCGGCCACTCAAATCATGTCATTAATAATAGTCATTTCCTTTAGGACGGATTCGAACATGAGACCCTTCTGAGCCATGAATTCCGAAGAACTTCCTCAACATGCTCTGCCAACGTGTAGCCTCTTAATTAAAAGAGCAAAATACACTACTTAAATAATTGAAAAGATAAGAATTTTCGGAATATACGTGCAGTATATATATATATATATATATATATATATAACAGGTCCAGAAAGTGGGCCACATGTTTCTTTTTGCCAACCCCTGACAGCTGCGTTGAGGGTGCTGCCGCATACTTAAAAGACTGGGAATGTCAAAATTCATTTCCCGGGGCCGCTGGGAAATGAAAATCAACAGACCCAGGAGGGAATCGAACCCACAAAGTTCAGGACCGTGCACTCTGGGTCCCACGCCCACGCCCCAGTGTTCGGCCACCCTCTGTAATATATATATATATATATATATATATATATATATATATATATATATATATATATATATATATACACACACACATATATAAATTATTTTAACGAACGATGATGATAGGTAATTGTAACAGACAAATAATCTGAAACATCCCTCATAGACCTTAAGGTATTGCATGGTATAAGGATACTGCAATTAGTAATGTACTCCAATTCGCATAAAAAATAATAACAGGTATCCATTATACAGTGGAGTCTTTTAGAACAATGTTTCATACCCAAATAAAACTCTATTAAGATAAAATTAGTAGTATTTGAAGAGTTAATTGAGCATAGCAAACCAACGCAGTAATCACCTGCCTATCCAGCCAGCAATTTAAAGCATACAATCTTTACAAACATCAATGATTTAAACTCTATTGTACAAGTTCACTGATTTGAAGGAAAAAAAAAATAACGTATATATATTATAGGATAAGCTACTATATTAGTCTATATATACGTACATACATAAATACACATTTAAACAGACTAAAATAGTAGCTTGTCTTATATTAAAAAAAAAAGTTTTTTTAAAGACAAATATACCTTATTTATATATTTGATTAAACAAAAACACAGGCTACAACTCTAATTGAAGAAAATAATGGAGGATATTATATTACAAATTTAGAGAAAACCATTAACAATTTTTAAGTAATTCTTTTTCATGTTCTATCATATCCACCGAGAAATCATGAGATTAACAGATTAACCAGGAATCTTATGTTATTTATGTTACAAGGCAAAGATAAGAAGCACATAGCATCTTCATTAGTAAGAAAAAAAAAATCAATATTCAATAACTGTTACATAGCACCTTAATTCATTCATGTCTTCAATTAACAGATAAAATCATAATTTTTTTCACTAGCCGCATCATTATATATATTTTATTAAAATTCATTTTTGAGTACTTTCTAATCAATCTTTATCATTTATTTAGTAACCTACTTTTTTTTTAAATAATATTTTTACAAAATTGTTTTTTGTTTCTTTAATCTCCTCGTGTAATTTTTTTTCCCTATACATTTCTTACTTTTTTACACAATAAGCATTATTTTCCTTTTCACATAACACTATATTGTTTGTATAGTGTTAATCTGCCTTGTACTGACTATTTAAAGTAATATTGTTATTTTATAATTAAGTGTATTTTTAGTATAATGTTGTAATACGGAGCTTAACCAAAACTTTGTATCTCCGATGACAAAATAAGCAATATTTCTCTTTTCTTATTCTTCTGTTGTTTATTTTGACTCATACCTGAGATCATCATTATTGGAAACTACCATCAGGAGTCAAACATAATCACTAATAGTTATTAGGAAAATAATTTTAATTATTATACTTATAACTTTAATTGACACATTATCCACTCTGTGCACTGTAGCATTTTATTTACTTTTTATGAGAGCACCATATAAAATATATATATATATATATATATATATATATATATATATATATATATATATATATATATATTAAGGGCAGAATTCTGAACTACTGTGGTTTCAGGAGCCCATCTGGCCAAGAACTGACCCATGTTGCATTAGTAAATGTTGACCCGTGGGCAAGAGAACTACTTTTAATTATTTTTAAAATATAAGCACTAACTGCTGCATACTGATATTTTAAAACACACTCTTTCTAATTATTTGATTTTGTGTTACTACTATTGAGTAAATAATAAATCCACTCTTTAAAAAAAATTAAAACTACCAAAATTTAGGGCATGATAACGGGATTTTTTTTCTTCCTATTTTTAAGAAGAAAACAATAACAATTCAGAATAAGACCAGTAGTTTCTTAGATTTTCAGAGAATAGACATATCCAAAAAGATAAGACAGAGTTAATTAAAATGAACTTACACTCTCTAAAATTTTATCGCATCAATCAAGAACTGTTAAAAAAATAAAATTCTCGATTCAATAGCAATCTAACTTATCACCCACACGCAAAGCCTAAACTAACCGAATGTATGATATACTTTTCAATAAAAATCAAATATATAAGGAATAAGTGATCTCCAGATTAGAGAGGACTGGAAAATACAATTCCTGAAGTCACAGTCAAATTTAAATATATTGCAGTTCATCGAAAACATGATAAAACAAGAATTACTATTGAAAATAATCTCATTAATATTTAAATGGGATAACTCGGCAGATTTAGAATCTTATCCATATACATTCAAGAACCTTATTTAAAATTTACATTAACACATGCATAAATGATTTTATACTGTGATCAAATCAAACGTATCAGTCTTCAACAACAAAGTATTAACCTTTTCATGATGTTGAAAAAACAGATTACTGGAAATATAAAAAAATCCAATTCTACAAAATGATTGACTGACACGCCTGGCAAAACAGTTGATGTGTATAAAATAAAAATATTATAGATCTTGATTGATTGGGATATCATAAATATTTTGAATAAAAATCAATTTTAATCCTGTACATAAGGATATCATAATCAAAACAGCTCAATACATTTTTTTAAATTTTAGAGAGGTTGCACCAAAACACATGACTGTGCCCTAATTGACAAAAGTAAACCAATGAGTTTGAACCCATTTTTGTACTCAATTGGGACACTTTTGGCCAACAAATTTATAATAATAGATGTTACTGAGAACTTGTGAAAAATAAAATTAAGACATTTTGTGAAATAAGTGGACTGAGCCAGTTTTGAGACTAATCACTTAATATACAGTACTAAAGATTTCTTTAAGACAAAAAAAAAAAAAGTCACTGAAATAACGAAGTGGTGTTCTGTTTTTCGCCTTTTGATCTTCATTTAAATAATTTAAAGAGTTATGAATGTTTTTTTCTAGTATCTTTTTAAATTTGCACTGAGAACTGTGGGGAAAAATGTAGAATGGAGATACACTGACCAGCATAAAGAAAAACACAATTAATAATGTAAACGCAAGTCTATATCCCTAGGATACGAATGTAGTTGAAACACAGGGTTATCAGAAGATGCTCTTAAATAATGCGGAGGAAAATTGGTGACTAGAGGTTAGGAGAACATACATCGCCGGATGGCGTCCTGTTAATAGAAAGATGGATCAATACTTACTCTACATCCCTAGGAAAGTTGACGATGGCTCTGTAAATACACTTATAGCGTTCGTTCTGGCTGATGTATACGACAATGAAGGCGAGGACGAAGTAGAGGAGCTTGGACAGCTCAAGGCATTGTACCTTCCACATGGTAGATGGAGCATGAAAGCCGCCCGTTCCCTACCGTCTTTTCTCCCTTACTGGCCCCTCTATATCCTCTGTCTAGCGACTACCCCAGCACCGAAGAAAGCCGACTTTTCCCGAACTCCCACTTTGTTATTATTTATTTTCTTATTCTCGTGCCAAAATAAGTATTCTGAATGGCTAATGTTTTCAATATATTTGACTTTTACTATCTTATACAAAAATTTATGACGGTGGTATTAATATATTATATATTCCAGAAAGTAATATAACTTTATCTATTTATTTTTTGGTAGGCATTTTCTCATTTCGACAATTATTTGACAATAGTAATTTTTGTAATTAAAGATGATTTTTATAGCATTAATAAATTTTTAAAAAATCATACCGTAGATGTATATGTAGATTCAAGGAAGAACTGTCGGTTTAAAGCACCCATAAACAAATTATTAAAATTTTACTAGTTCAAAGAATAAAGAAATACAATTAGAGTGGTGTTTTTCTTAATTTTGGGTTAAAAAGTACTTCGGCTACCAATTGTGAGCATGTATCGAGAAAAAATATAAATATTTTCTTCCTAAAAATATGCTATCGTGTAGAACTGAATTAAAATTATATAAATAAAGTTAACAAATAAAAAACCCACAAAACTTATAAAATTTAATTATGAATGTTCATTGATGCAAATGGTGAAAAAAAGCATTTCTGATTATTTACTTAATTACTTACTTCTAGGACTTTATACTTATTTCTAGTAATTTGGTTTTCCTTACAATGTAGGATAAATTTTTCTGTATTTATTTTATATTCATATTAGGTACACTGGATGAACTATTAGATAATTTTGAATATATGTGTTGTATTTATTAAGTTGTAAATTTCAAAGGGTGTGTATGTCTTTCACTCGACTTATGAAAATTCAAGACAAACTCTATGTATCAATTGTTTCAAATAATGCACGGGCGGATCTATGGGGGGGGGGGGTGTTTTCAGGTTAAAGCCCCTCCCCCCACAATAGTAAAATATAACCATATTTTATGAAAAAATTATTTCTAAAAGTATTATTGTTCCTCTTATTACATTTAATAGAAGTTAAGAATCGCTTAAAGATCATTTCATATAGGTAGTTAGTTTTTTCTTTCTTTCGAAGTAATTATCCGTACATTCCGTACATAGATTATTACAATAAGGCTCGAAATCAGTTTTGTACCAAATATAAACTCCTGTTATGCTCAAATACCTTGAATTGGGTACCGTTGGGTTCAGAATTTCACGGGGGATTAGCGAATCGAATTCTCCTCTTTTCTTTTTCTTTCTAAAATAAATAAAGCCGATACAAACATTTTGCTAGGCTTCAATACTGGAACGGTGGTAGGTCTGTTGATCGATACGGGACAAATTGGACCTTGAAGATTTTGAAGCGTACATCAAGACCCGGATAGTTCCCTCGGAACTATCGGATCCTGCGTTTTAAAGCCCAAAAACGTACTATTTTCGAGATAACGCAAGGCATAGGGTTCTCATCCACACAACCTTACGTTAATTGTAATACTGTCATTGAATACATGTCGCATTTCGTCGACTTGAGCCCTCTATAATCGAGAGAGGAGGACTTTATATTATTTATCGATGCTGTTTTTGATCGGCAAGCTATATAATCGTTAATTTTTTACCAATTCTCAAGATTGAGTCACCAATTTCGAAGGCTCCCTTCTCCTTCAGGTGGGCGAAAAAGTCCAATCACCCCGAAAATTCAGGCAAACAAGTTATGAAAGCAAACAAACTTTATTTGCGAATAACTAAAAAATTACACACTTTTCCCTTTATGATTAATTTGGCATTTGATAACAATATGCTGTGTGAATTTTTCGCACGTGCCTACTAGTCCTAATATATTTATACAAAAAACAATCTTTCAGGCTGAAGCCCCCCCTCAAAATTAATTCCTGGGTCCGTTAGTGATATAATGCATTAGAACTAACGAGTAGATAAAACTAATTTAATTGAAGTCAATTTCAGAAAAATTACCCAATAGAACGGTACATTATATTCAAATTCCATTTATCTCATACGATAATATTTGCCAACTTTAGATGAGATGAGATGAAAATACAAAATTGAAATTATCAGGAGGAATAGAACTAATAAATATTGATTCTGAACTCACTGATTTTTTTTTTTTTAATTTTTGTTAATTCAATTTTTCTTCTCACGGTTGCTTTTATAAAAAAAAATTGAAGGTTTTTGCAATTACAAAACTCGAATATCTTTAGCCACGAGATGAACTCCACATTGCTACGAACCATGGTTTCCAACATACAGAGGTAAGCTACTAAAACCTCCATAAATAGCCCAAGATACAAATCCTTTCTTATCAAATGATTAACATCCATCATAAACTTCATCTTATTGTTACCTACGTCTTTTTTATCTACAAAAAATCTCAGAAATTAATTAAATAAATGAGATACTGAAAACTCATGAATACCGATTTGCTTTCCCCTTAAATCGTATGAAAATTAGACAACAAAATCGAGAAATATGGTGGCATTCAAAAGTATAGAGCTGTTTGGCGTGACCTACACCCCCAAAATTTCCGAATAACGAGGTTATATATGCCAAACGGCGCAATATTTTTGAAGGCCACCATTTTTTTAGACTCTTTGCTCAAGATATCTTATGATTAAAGAGGAAAGCACATGGGTATTTACGAGTTTTTAGTACCTAATTAAATAGACAAAGTTTGCCGACCTCCATATTAAAAACGAACCAAATCCCAGAATATATTTGTAGGTTACCATAAGATGAAGTCATTTACGAAGTTTTCGCCGGGTGTTAATAATTCGATAAAAAGGGGTCTGTACCACGGACTATATATGGTTATTTAAAAGTTTACGGAATTTCCTAAAAAAAAAATCGTTAAATCGGACAATTAGGAGCAAAGATATGGTCTCTAGATGTTTTTTATATGTTCTACTGCAAAGGTTATATCATTTGTTTTGGTTTTTGATTTTTGAATGTGTTACTGAAGTAATGCTATTTTTTTTTAGCATATTACTAATGATTAAAAAAAAATGTTTAATCCAATAATTGGAATCACCTTTTATTTCTTTTTCTTTGTCACTAGGAAGGTAATGTTACTTTAGATGCATAATTGTTTGGAAATAATAAACAATTGTGAAATAATTTGCGGTGTTTTTCTAATGTGTGCATATTTATTGGCTTTTTTTTTTTTATACAGTTGTAAATTTCATTTAATAAAAAAAAGTTTTATAGGTTGTCAAAAATATTGAAATATTGAATCTTTTGGCCTTCTTAATCACGTTATTTTAGACGTTGTGGATGGAAACGCCCCTATATTTTTGTAGGCCATATTTGTTTTCCGTTTTGTGATCAAATTGTCTTGTGATTCAAGTGGAAACGAAATTATTGTTTATGAGTTTTTAGTACATCATTAAATAGACAAAGTTTACCGATTTCCAGATTGAAAACGCACCATTCTCGAATATTTTTGTGAAAAAAAAAAAGCTTTATGTTACGATAAGATGAATTAATTCACGATGTCTTAGACTGATGTTAATGATTTTACAAAAAGGGTCTAAAATAGGTCTTGAAACGGAAAAAAAAGCATTTATTTTTAAATAGATTCCGTATTTTTTTCAGAAATTTTTACTGTCGATAATTTTTCAGTTCTTTTAGAATTGCAACTTTGTCAATAGCAAGTTTTCAAGTAAAGGTTTTGTAGAAACATTTTTTACATCTTGAGATCATATTTTTGCTCCTAATTGTCCGATTTTAACGTGTTTTTTTTTTTTTAGGAAATTCCGTAAACCTTTAAATAACCATGGTATTTAACTATAGTGAACTATAGTCCGTGGTACAGACCCCTTTTTATGGAATTATTAAAATTCTCGGAATTGCAGCGTTTTCAATCTTGAGGTCGGCAAGCTTTGTCTATTTAATTAGGTACTAAAACTCGTAAATACCCATTTGCTTTCCACTTTATTCGTAAGATATCTTGAGAGCAAAGTCGAGAAAAATGGTGGCCTTCTGTATATATATTAGATATTGAACCGTTTGACCTATGTAACCTCGTTATTTTGAAAATTTAATGATGTAGGTCAAGCCAAACGGCTCGATACTTTTGAAGGCCACCTTTTTTCTCGACTTTGTACTCAAGTTATCTTACGATTAAAGTGGAAAGCAAATGGGTATTTACGAGTTTTTAGTACCTAATTAAATAGACAAAGTTTGCCGACCTCTAGATTGAAAACGACCCAATTCAGAGAATTTTCGTAAATCAAATATTTGTTTGTTACGATGAGATGAAACTATCCACAAAGTATCAGCCGGATGTAAATAATTTGATAAAAAGGGGTCTGTAACACAGACTAATACAATATCGATAAAAAAGTGTATACTTTTTGAGTTATTCGGAATCTAATTTTACCATCCCTCGTAACTTTTTTTCCAGCTGCTTTTCATTGAAGTATGTAATATAGATAAATTTAAAGGGCATCTAGAAGAAGACTTTAGCGAAGTTTCATTGAAATCGGTACATTCGTTTAGGCGCTACAGTCTATAGCAACGCAGGTTTTTCGGTCGCCATCTTGAAAGGAAAAGGTGGATAGAAATGTCGATGAAGGAGGATCATCCTCGGGTGACCTCTAATTTTAAATCCAAATTTGAAAAAAATCGGTCCAGTAGTTTCGGAGAAAATGCGCAGACGGCGACAAAAAATTTGTATTCGTTTTTCGAATTCTTCGTATCCTGAAACGTAAAACCTTAAATTTTGAGAGGGGGTTAAGTTTTTGAATTTTTTGTTCGATCACAATAGTTCATTATTGAAAATAATAAACCAATAATGTCATGAACAGACTTGAAGATATACTGCCCAATGGCAGCACTCTCTATTTAATTCTATGTAAGAAAATCACGAGGCCATCTTCTTTTCAGAGGCTGGAAACAAGCAGATTCGGATGGGACTGAAGTTTCTCATGAAAGGATAGATATCGGGCTCGGACTAAATTAGCGACAAATATAACATTAAG